GATGGTCCCAAAACTTGCTCTAGCACCAATTTGATAGGAAACACTTGTAGATTTCAAGTAAATCCTATCAATTTCATAAAATCAACAAGAAAACTCTTTCACACTCCAAAAGAAAACTAGAAAAAACAGTAATTTTATTTTGAGAATCAAATAGAACGGAAGAAACAACAAAACACAAGTGATCCTATATTCGAGAGGAGGATCGATCTCTCCCAATCTCTAGACGGATCTAGAGCCCAAAACCTAAACCTAAGAGATCCCAAAATCAGTCTAATTCAAGATGCCCTAACCCTAGGCAAACAAACTATTTAATGCATGAAAATCAAAAGGAAATCCCTAAATAGTCCCTACATTCAATTTTCCCTCCAAATTCCCTTAAAAAACCTTCCAAATGGGATTGGGTCAGCAAACAGGTTAGATTAGGATTGGAGGCGAAACAATGGCGGGCTGGGGAGTGAAATCGGATCGGACTAGGGCAAAGGGCAAGGTAGGAGGATCGAATGCAAGTGCATGCAGCTAGGAGGGCAATCACATACGTGTGCGGGATCGAAAGCGTGAGTGCGGGTTGGGCTTGGTCGTAGGTGGTGCGGGTTGGTGTCTGGTGGCCAGCTCGTGTAGAGGTAGAGATGAGGGTGCCCGGCGTAAAGGAGAGATTAGCTAAAGTGGGTTGGAGCTCAGGTCGGTACAGACGGATACTGACGTCTGGTTGTGATGTAGTGGATCATCTGAAGAATTGACCTGCAAGAAGGATTTTTGTTCCCAATCCAGGGAAGAAGAAGAAACAAAGCTTCAAAGCTTTCTAATGGGGATAATATCATTCAATGACTTTTTCTACTACAAAACTTGCTTATATAAGCTAAATAGAATACTCTAGAAGGCACATGTAAAAAGCTCATAACAAACTAATTAAAATATGCCTAAGGAGCAATTTAGTTAAGATGCTCTGCATCATTCTCCCCTTGCGTCAAAAAGGGCTCGACTCCGTCGAGACGCGTTGTCGGAAGGGAGATAATAATCCTCCTGGGTCGAAAATTGTGTTCTCATTATTTATTCCAACTTCTTTTACTAAACTGTCTGCAACAGCTGCATAGACCAACGTCAGTTCATCAAGGGATTTTCCTTGATAATCTATCAATTTCTGCATAACCAAAGGCACCATAGTATTGCAAGCAGACAAAGCAAAGAAGAAATTACTAGTGTCGGGGTACCCAGGGAACAACGGAGTGGTGACGGCGCCATTAAAACCACCTGGGAACTGATGTGAAACGTACATGCGATGGAGTTACTTTACGAAATTAAAGAGACCAATTTTAACAAAATAATCCAAAGTAAATTTATTGCTTATAACATTGGTTTGATCCTTAGAGTTCTTAGTTTTTAACTTGCTTAGGCAAAGAAGAGCGAAATCAATTAACCAAACAATTCAAGAAAACTCAAAGAGTAATTGTACGCTACGACGATAAATAAGAATCCACGATTTAATAATGAGAACTTTCACCTTTGGAGTCCACACGCTCAAATAGTCTAGGCTTTAGCGGAAGAAGAATCTCCACATTAGAATCAAGGTTGCCCCGAGGAAGAAGGAACCTTGGATCGTCGTTCTTGGATAGGTGGCCGGAGTGGTGGAGGATGGTGGTTGGGGCCTCCCGGGTGAGGGTGTGGTGCCAGGGAGCCTGCAGAAGTGTTGGACAGCAGCTACGACGTCATCCCAGATAAGTATGCTTGCTGAATTTGATACTAGTGGGCAGTGGGTTGCAATGGTGACCTCTCCAATTCACTGTATGGCATCTGTAATGGCAGAAAACTTGTAATAGTTTGATGTCAACTTTGAAACAATTCCAGCTAGCTCATGTTGGAGGAGGGAACTAGTTGGAGAAAACAAATCACGTCCAGAAGGGAGCTCGGGTAGGAGAGGAAGCTTCAGGAGAAAACAATTTCAGATTTTTTTTTTTTTTTAAATTGAGCTCAAGTGGGAGACGTGAAGATGGGAAAACTAATTTGAAAACAAATTAGTTTCCAAATAAAAGGGGTGTAATCCTGATTCCCAACAGATTTTGAAATCTGGAATTAAAAGCTACAGTTACGTTGAGAGCCAATTTAATTTCAGATTTTTTTTTTTTATTGTGGAAGACTTAATTTCAGTTTTGAAATTTCAAGTCTGAAATTTGTCTAAAAGGAAAGAAATAAGGGAAGGTTACAAGAGGGTTAATACGGGAGAGAGAGAGGAGTATTTGAGGGGCTTGTAGTGGGCCCGGCTAGTTAATGGTCATTAATTAAAATCTGATTTAGTCATCAGATTTGAATTAATATGGGAATTCCTAACTCACGGTTTAGGAAACAGATGAAAGCTCTTCAATTTAATTCAATAGGAATTTGAAATTCAAAATCTATTCAAAACAATTGAAGCCAAATTAGGAAGGTTGTGAGGGGGGAATTAATGAGAATTGAAGAGGTTGGGGATGGGAGCAGGCCGGCGGGAGGCTTTGGCAAAGGGAGCCGGCGAGTGGGGATGGGCTGGCCGGTGGTTGTTGGCCTGCAGGACGGCGGCCTGGGCAATCCAGGGAGGGGGCGGCGGCAAGAGCAAGGGAGGGGAGATTGTGGGGGAAAATCTCGGGATTCAAAACATGAAAATCAGAAATTACTAGTGTCGGGGTACCCAGGGAACAACGGAGTGGTGACGGCGCCATTAAAACCACCTGGGAACTCTGCGTACGAGCCGGAGCCAGCGTCGGGCTGTAGATCTGCTCGGACAGTGGGTACGAGAGCGAAATTGAGAATGATGTCAGTAGAGCCTTTGATAATGATGGCGAGAATATATCCATGACCGACGCATTCGAAGCCTCTGTCGCCTTCAGCTTCGCAAAACTGTCTGTAAATCTCCTGCGACATTCGCTCTGTTTCCGTCCATGCTTTCGAGCAGGGATGTAATGACCAGACTCTGACGCTACGCGGAACGTTGAGTTTGTTTTTCTCTACAGTGGCGATGCTGAGTACAGACGGCGGCGGATCGCCGCCGTGCAAGGCAGGGCCGGGTGAACAGAGGAAGCGGCGCACGGGAGCTTGGATTTTGGACCAATCGTTGGATGCCACGTCGTATGACAGAATGGCGAAGGGAGCATTGACGGAGTCGCTGAATCGCTGGTGCTGGTGGTTGGTGGAACTTCCTGCCGCAGTATCTCCAGTAGTGGACCGCCGGCGATCTGGTGTTGGCTTCCGGGAGGGGGTCATGGAATCACGTTGCTCGACGGAGTCGGAGCAGGCAGCGGGACTGGGATCTGGTCGTGATAGATTGAGCTCAATGCCTGGAGCAACGTCGCCATAGCCAAGTGGTTTTTCTGTCTGCTGCCGTCGGAGTGGGGTGTGCGGCAACGGATGAATGGTGTCGCCGGACGCTAACGGCGGAGTGGTATCGGCAGCGGACTGTGCGGGAGTCCGGTCGGCGGGGACCTGGTGGGTTGCTGTCGGCGAGTGGAGTTGGGAAGCTGGAAGAACAGCGTCAGCCTCCCTATCAGACAAGGAAGCGTCCGAGCCGATGCAGAGAGCAGTGATGCTCTAGCTGAAAGAAAATCCTCTCCGTCTCCTGCCATGATCGCGGATCCAGCTGACACGATAGGCGCGGGTTCGTTTTCTCCATCGACATCTGCATAGCCCTTGGACGATGTTGAAACGGAATGAAGGACGACGTCGGTCACCAGCGCCTGGAGTGGATGCTCTGTATGATCGGATAGCACCGGAGGAGGTTTAACAACACGGATCTGGCATTGAAGCGAAGGGGGATCACGCCATTTGAGCGGAAGCTCAAGCGGGGGGTAGTCGTCAATGACCGTGGAAGAATGACGAGATTGATGGCATTTGCGAGGAGCGGACGAGGAGAGCGAAGAAGAAGAATAACTCGGTATGGTTGCCGACGGCATTCTCATCTTCCTTATTGCCCGAAGGTTTTCGCGAATCCGATCAAGGTTTCTGTCTACCCGATCGAGCGATTCCTTCGATTGAGCTTGGTAGAAGGCGATCCGGCTTCGAGCATCGTCGACAGCCCACCTTCCTTGGCGTCGATCGTCGTCGACCGCCAATCTTGTTTTGCAGCTTCGATCGTCGTCGACAGCCGACCTTCTGCAATACATCGATCTTCGCAAGCTCCAGGCTCTGATACCAACTGATGTAGTGGATCGTCGGAAGAATCGAACTGCAAGAAGGATTTTTGTTCCCAATCCAGGGAAGAAGAAGAAACAAAGCTTCAAAGCTTTCTAATGGGGATAATATCATTCAATGACTTTTTCTACTACAAAACTTGCTTATATAAGCTAAATAGAATACTCTAGAAGGCACATGTAAAAATCTCATAACAAACTAATTAAAATATGCCTAAGGAGCAATTTAGTTAAGATGCTCTGCATCAGGTTGTATCGGCTGCGGTCCTCTGTGCGGGATGAGTGTGGTGGGACAAACGTGCAGGAGGCACGGGTGGGTCGCGTGAAGTGTCGAGTTGCAGGAACAGGAGTGGTGTTGTCGTGCAGGTCACGAGCGAGAGTGCTCGATCGAGCAGGGAGTTTTCTATTTGCATTCCTGTGTGCCTGAAGATCGAATTAAAGGGCGAGAACGGTTTCTTCATGTAAGAAAGAGGAAATGAGAGAGTAGCGGTTGTGTCATTTGGGCTAAACAGTTACGTTGTTTGGGAAGATCGTGCGTGATATGGGGCCGATCAGATGGTTAGTGGTCAACAATTTGCTTTCTTCTTTTATCATATTTTACTTCCTGGCTGGAGTTCATTGAAGAAAAAATATACCATTGCCTTACAATTGCTGTTTTCGTATTGATGTTTGAGAAGGGAAAAAATCAACGCAAAATGGGCCTGGTCTGGAAACAACTTAATGTTAAAGCAAACAGCTTGTGAAACATATTTTTTCTGAGAACATAATCAATAAATTTGAAGTAAATAAAACAAACTGACAAATAAGAAGTGATGCCAAATTTCTAACAGCAATATTGTTTTTTAATACCTGTGCATGAGGATTTTGAACTTCAATACCACTGGATTTGTGAGATTTAGTCCACTCAACAAGGGGATCATGAATGAAGGTTTCAAGAACACTCATGAGTGTCTCCTTATGTGTTCTCAGTACAGACAGGGTTATCTCACATACTTTTAGAAATACGCCTTCATATCCAGTTATGCCAAGGCCATCTATCATGTTCTGCAACAAAAAAATGTTATAATACTAGCTTTTGTAAGCACAAATAAATCTTAAATTATCCTGAATAGCCCATTTACCTGGGTTAACCTAAAAGGCACAAGTTCAGGCTTCTCCAACTGTAAACCTTTATCGAATAGGCAACTAAAATCGACATGAACACAGTCTCCGGTTGTCGAGTCAAATAGAACATTTTCTCCATGCCTGTCACCCAGCCCAACAATATGCCCAACCATGGACCAAACAGCAGTAGTATGGGCATAAGCAACCCTCGCTCGGAACCAAGCAGCTGGCTCAGAGAATGTGGTCAAGAACCATCGATGAAAAATAGGAGGGAACATTGGCAGAATTTTCAACTTAAACATCTCCTCATCAGGCATCTTACCCTGGCATTGTTCATATATTTTCTTGATCAAGGGATTTGTCCTTTGACGGTCAAACTTCCCACAGGTTATGTAGATATCTTGAAGAATATGACGGAGGCCACGAGTCTGTGGAACCCATTCAACCATACCACAATCTTCGGTAAATGGGATCACAGCAAATGTGCGAATGTAAAGCTTTCTCCTTCGACTCTCTGGGAATTTGGACAAGAGACGGTTTATCATGGCAGTAAACTCCATCATACGAGCATCTTTCCTAAGATCATCTTTTGGCTTGCAAAGGAATGCACGTTGAACACCGTCACTCCCAAGAAAAATAACCTGAAATTGGAAAAACCAGAAGGAGAAACTTTTTTTTTTTAAGGAGAAACATTAATTATACAGAATGTCAATAAATCTGAATCAGATAATACCCTCGCTAAATAATTGCCTGATGGATAATTGGTTGGATTATGTGATTTTAGCATTATTCGGAATTGCATGGTTTAACTTAGTTGAAAATCTAGTATGGATTGCTAGGAAATATTAGCCCTCACCAAGTGCAAAAATTCAGTTACTGAAGCTGTAGCTTGTATTTTTTATGTCTAAGAAGTTAGACACAGTCAAAGAAATAGAGGAAGATAACATGCTTAAATACAAGATAGAATTTTAGCATATTATTTCTCAAGCCTAAAAAGATTTATATTGACCTGTTAGAAATAAATCAACCTTTTGAATGCCCACACACTTCCTATATCCTCATTATTTCAAAAATTATCCCAGGTTTAGTTCTTTAAAACCTTCAATGGAAACAAATCCTGCCATCTTAGATGATGAACATTATTAACATGAACAAGCATGTATACTTGAAATAACCTGAATTTTTTATACCAACCACGAACCCAAAGAACCTTGCCATAGGAAGTTTTTCAAAGGCAAGCAATAGATGTATGACTCGCTACCATTAAGCTGGTATTGCATCATAAGATAATTTGCACGCTTTAAGAAGTTGAGACATGATCAAGCCCTCATCTTTTGTGTTTTCAGAATAAACAACAATAACACTATTCTCCTTACCTTCTTTGGCTTTTGGAGGGATGAAAGAATTTCAGCCTCATCTGCAATTCCAGATATTGTAGGGTGATCAGCAGCTGAGAAAGTGAAGCTAGGAGAATCTGTTTTGCTTGAATCATAGGAGGGAAGTGTGACAGTGAGGGCTTGTTGAATTGGTAATATAATCCCCAGTGGCATCATTCGCTTTAAGGCACTGAACTCAGTAGAGATATTTATTTTCCTTGCCTTGGCCTGTCCTGGGTGAAAGCACAGTTTAATTAGGTGATCAATCAAGCCAGCAAACTGAACAAACAGATTGCTATTATCACTCCCATGGCGGAACCCTTTTCGTGCTGCTTGAATTATCTCAGCAGCAGCATCACGCCTAGCCGCTACTGCTGATTTAGAGACAGCAGCCATCATCCAAAGAACTTGCTGTGGATATTCCTGCAGGACAGATGTAATAATATGCTTGACGATTCTAACAGTTTCTTCATTCTGATGACAGATGCGAGAGACTAGCTGAGACAGAACTGTAAGCCACTGATATGTTGGCAGATCTTTCAGGCAACCACGCATGATACTTAAAACCTGAAACATTACGTTAGAATATTTATAACAAAAAAAAAAAGAGCACCAAAAAAAAGAGGCACACGAAAAAATAAAAAAGAAGCGCTACCCGTGCATGAACAGCTTTCATAGGTTTATTTGTTGATGATACATCTCTGTGGTACATACTTCCAAATTCAAACCAGAGCGTTAGCAATCTTGGTAGAGCTTGGAATAAATTCTTGTGCCCTCTGTGAAGGCCTTTAGCATAAAACAGTAACACATCAGGAAGGTAAGACCACCAGGGCTTCTCATCAGCTGCAGGATTTAATGAACTACCAGCACCAGCTGACGAACCATGTCCAACCAGCAAGTTATCCTCTTGCCGCTTTCTGGCATCAACATGGAGATCATCAAAATACTTCGCCATGAAAAAGTATGCATTCTCCCATTTTGGTTGCAACTCTCTGACTCTTGAATATAGATTTATAATATCTTCCTTCTGTTTTTGGCCAGTGTGATGGATCCATCTTGTATAGAGAAGAATGATTTTAGCCACTTCTTGATTCTCTTTTGATGCTTGTGTGGAACAAAGTAATGGAGGATTTGGCAGTCCAAGTGAAAGACTAGCCAATGATGAAACAACGGCATTGCCCAGCACTTCCACGTGCATATTCAGAAGGCATTGCTCCAATTCAGCTATAGCAGAGTCAGATTTTCGTGTGCTCCATAGAAGCTTTGCCTTCTCCATGTTCACATTAGAAGCGCCTAAAGCATGCGCTTCCAATATTGCTCTATGAGCTGTTTCATAATGGCCAGCAGAGCGACAAAGCTTAGCATATTGAAGCCAACAGTTACCTACTTGTGCACGCAGGTCACTTGCACCAAAGACTAGTCTGCGTAAGGCTAGGAGTGGCTCCCTAGCCCAAAGTGATGGTTGTGTAAATTTCAGTCTATTATCCCAGTCCTTCATGATTTTAGCAAACTTTGGATCTTCAGGACTGAATGATTTTTCTTTAAATGACTCATCCCCTAAAAAAGCATGAAAATCTTCCAACTCACAGAGCAGATGAAGCTTCACTACATATGGGTAGGCCCGCATATAGGAATCCATGCCTGCAGCAGCTAAGGGGACAAGTAATGCATGTTTAGACTGTGCAATTCGCTCGGAAACTAAGAATTGATCTTTCTTCATCATTGCCTGAATAATCTTGGCAAGCCCGATGTCAAAGGAAGCATTATTCTCAAAATTGCCACAGATCAGACCATTTGTTTCTGCACCAGAAAGGTACTCATCCATTAGATCCCACCTGCCTAGCCTCCAAGCGGCCTGCACACCTTGCATGCACCAACTCTTCTTAAAATCAGGTATTCTACATATCAAACCATCAACATGAGTTACCATAGCCTGAAGGTGGCACATATTTAACAAACAGTTCAGAACGCCAGAGTGTCTTTGAACTGAATCAGGCTCCAGCCGCAGAGCTTGCTCACAGAATGTTAAAACTTCTGCCCAGTTTCCTGCCTTCTCATTTATTAGAAGCTGATCTTGCAGGGTAGATGATTTCCGCAGATTTGCCAAGCCTGAAAGGCCATCAGGCTCATCTAGAACACTATATATCTCCATGAGAAATGAGATGTCGTCATCGGAAAAGAAGCCACTGCTCTCAGCAGCCGGATTGAAAGAGCCAGACTTCTCCCGCACATATGATTCAAAGTACATCAGTGCACGAGCATGGGCATGACATCTCAAAGAGGCCTTTGCAAGGGTAAATTTAGGAATGGCAGATAACAACTCAGAAACATTACTGCACTGCACAAGGAGCTTATCTGCATCCAAAGCAAGTCCATTTGTGCCTTTAACCCTAGTTGGTTGTTTAGAGGTTGGTACTGGAGAAGACAGGGAGAGAGCAATTTCTTGTTTGAGGTCATCCACCCACTGCCCAAGATTATCAAGCAGAGTAAAGACAGCCTGGATACAGACTTCGTTCTGTCCCTCAATTATTCCATTAAATGTAGCTCCACTGGTCCCAGAAGCTGCAGCATTGAGAACAGAGAGAATCTCTTCAGTTATGCTGTGACGTCCCTCAACAGTGCTGTGGCAGACAGCATCAAGGACCAAATATGGTAACAAGTAAGTGGCTGTTTGCATGTCATGACGTACTATGCCACGGCAAGAGCTAAAGATACTGAAACGAGACCCAGTTGCATGGGCAGTAAGCTTTCTGATCCAAGAGAATATCCACCTTCGAAATGACATGGAAGGATGATAAATCGGGCCCAACAATGTAGAATCGGTTATGTTTGGGAGTTGAAATCTTGAGGTCAAGCATGGCGCGATAATTTCCTTAATGTAAATAGAAAAACGATCCCAAAATCTCTGGCCCCTCTTATTCATCTCATTGTATGTTTTGCTACTTTCTTCTTCAATTATCTCAGGGGAATCTGTACCTGAAGCATCATTGAGTGATGCTTGGCAACCAGCTAGTTTCAGAAGCTCTTGTATGGCCAAAGCAGCTGAATCCTGAACAATGGTGTCAGATGCAGCCCTGAATGCTCTTGCAAGATGCTTGTTTATAAGTTCAAAAATAAGATCATCATCTGAGCATGCAATTTTGAAACGTTGACAAGAAACAACCTTAAACTTAGCAGGATCAACTGCCCCAACTGCTCCCAAGCAATCCGCACAAACTAATTTAAACCTCTGGCCAACAGCTGTCCTGGACTGCTCAGCGCAGCCTCTAAGCAAAGCTGTGATTAGAGAGCTAATGACATCCAAATCCAGTATGGCTTCCCCCGCTACTAGGGCAGTGATATCTTCTCTTCTCGAATTAAACAGCTTGCTCAACTCACAAGCCACCATATATCTTACATTTAAGTTTTCATGGTTAAGACCATCAATGGCATCTTGCAAGTGCTCCCTCAAAGTCATTGATCCCCTTGCCTCGTGAATAACCATGTTCACCGCAGACAAAACTGAAATACTAGGTAAAAGTGGGAGTTCCCGTATTTGTTGCCGTAGTGTCAACCTGTTCTTCACAATAAGGTCTTCCAAAATTTCCACAATTTTGCTCAAATGAAAGGAAGGGGCTTCTCTATGGCGTTCCAAGCATGGGATAAACGCAGCTACAATTTGTGATATAACATGCTTAATGGTGGATGGAGAGAGTTCAGCTAGTTGCTTGATAAATACTTGCAATACACTTAGACTATCATATTGAAGTGCTTCCTTGTCAATAGCATACAAAAGAAGAACCATAATTTTTGGAACATGAGTACTGAGGTAAGATCCCATCATCTCAATCAACTTCTCTATACGCCTAAGGGCTTGTTTCTGCAGATGAAGGCTGTCAACATGCAGCATTTTCCTATCGATGCTATTAAGGAGTCCAACAAAGTGATTCTTTAAAAAAGTTGGAAGGTCAGCAGATCCAGTCAAGATTACAGAAACCTGCTGGACCATCATTGGAATTATTGCTGTCCTGAAAACATCATTAGAAGAAATAAACTTTAAATGGTATCAAATTATCAATAAAATTAAGTACAGATCATTATAGGCAAAGTGAAAGCTAAAATATAATGGATCACCTTCTTTCAGTTTCATTCATATCCTCCTCTGCAGGAAAGCATAAGAGTTCATCTAAAAGTGCAGGTAAAGCAGCAGCAAAAATTTCCTTCTGGTCAGATCCTGTTTGGACATGATAGAATTCTAAAACAGAAGTTAGTTGCTCTCCATCTGCATGGAGAAGAGCAAATGCGAGCACCTTTGGCAGCCAATTGACAATTAGGGGTACTACATCAGTATCTAAATGGTTCGCCAACTCATGCAATGTTATCATTGCATGATCATCAACTTTGTGTGAAACAATCAGCCTAGGTATAACAAAAGGAACCATCCTTCCAACAAGCTCCCCAGCTTTAATTCCAACAACAGCCTCTGCAAATTCATGGATCATAGCAGGGCGGCTCACAAGCCTCGCAGAGAGATATTCAAATAATCCATCTCTAATGTGAAAGAACTTTGAAAATATCACTTCAAATCCTCCTTTAAGATTCAAATAGAATGACTTGTGTATAAGCCGTGATGCAGTCACTCTTACCATCTCATTTTCATTATCAAGCTGATCAACAAACAAAACAAGTGAGTACAAGAAAAGTTGCCCATGAACATCACAAAAATTCATTATCTCAGCAATTGTTTCCAAAATAGTCATCAAAACCAATGGATCCCCAGTACCGGCTAAAGCATGCTTAATTCTGTCCAAGAACTTCAGCTCTTTTGTCTTGTTGCTCGTCTCTCCATCAATAAACAAGATCTCTAAAATGTGTTTATCGAGAAAGCAACTTATTTCAGTACTCAATGCTTCCCTGACAGCTCTAATTTTGTGGAGGAGCAAATAATCAATACACTCTATCCATTTACATCTAGTACTGAGCAGAATACTCCGATCTGCATGCTTCAGGATTCGGGGAAGGACGTGAACATAAGCAACCAGGAAGACTTCTGTTGACTCCTTGTAAAGCAATTGCAAAAAAAGGGAAGGTAAATTAATGCAAGAAATGTTCATATCAAGTTTTTTATTTTGCAGTTTAGACATGGACAAGAAAGATCCACTGTGTTGTACTCCTCTGTCACATTTGGAACACCAAAACCCACTAGAAAGAAGATCTATTGTCTGAAAATATCTTTCATGGCTACTATTTATAAACAACTGGCAATAGCTTCCATCTGGGTTATCAGCATAAACGCATGAGTTATATAAGCATGACAAATAGCCTAATGAATAGATGATTGATCTGCCAACCACATCATTTTTGCCGGAACAAAGTGACCTAAGAAGATATACGAACCAACAATTAAACAATTTAGAGGTGGTACAAGTCATACATACAATAATAAAATGTTGGATAAATGAGTTCTGCAGCCCCTTAAACTCGTGATTTTCAAAAGAAAATGTTAAAATAAGAAAAAGTATATAGAAGAGAAATAGAGAGAAAACCTGAATCATATTCATTATATCCAACTCCAATAACGATAAATATTTATAGGATAAAAAAAAATCAGTTATTAGTTCTAAAATTAAGAAAGTGATCAAGACAGACAAAACAGAAAAAAATCAGAGCACACAAATCACCGAGAAGACAATCATCATATAGTTGATAAATGGGGCAAATAGATTGCTTGATGAGAGATCGGTGTAAAGTCCCATATCTAATGAAATTTTCACACCCTTCCTCAAGCTAGGAACATAAATATTGATTACTCCTAGCTTGAAAGTTAGGTTATCCAATTGTGATAAAACAAGAGCTTTGATCAGGATATATGCTATCACAATTTTTGTAGGAGTTTTGTTGTTCTTGAATGATCCTTTGATTAATTTTTGTTTCATAAAATATCTAGCAATTTCCACATAATTAGCTCTGTCATGGCAGACTAGATCTTCGATAATGCTAATCATAGCTTAGTTGTGACATATCATAATCATTGGTTCAATAATGTGAATATTTAGAACTCCCAATAATCTTTTAAGCCATATTCCATCACAAAATCCATTAGCCAAGGCCGAGAATTCAACTTCACCACTACTTCTAACAAAAACAGCTTGTTTTTAACTTCTCTATGTAACTAAATTTTTCCATTCGAATGAAGAATAGCTAGAGGATGATTTTCAGTCAGTTATGAATCCAACTCAATCAACCTAAGTAAAGATTTTCATATTTCCATCTATTTCCTTTTTGAAAGAATAAACTTTTTTCTAGGAGCCTTTGTTTAGGCATCTTAGTATCCTATAAACTGCAACACAGTGTTTTTTAGTTAAAAGTATTATTAAGTTGACCGACCACACTAACAGAGCAACACAGGTTAGAATGAGCCTGAAAGAGATAAATAAGTTTTTCAACCAGGCAAGTTATCTTTCTTTGTCAACTTAGAGAGTATCAATATTTGATCGAGAAAATGACCAAAATGATCCCTTAACTCTTTGAGAGGGATCAAAACTATCTAATTATTATTTTGAATATTAATTATCTAATTAATTATTTCATTATTATTTACATTATTAATTATCTAATTCATTTTTAAAATTTATTAATTTATATTAATTAAAATACATAAATTAATTCCTAATTAAGTAAAGACTATTTACTCCTCTTTCTTCTCTTTCGGGTTCTTTGGACTTTTGCATGAGGTAGGGTTTTGAATGAGTCCCTAAAGTCTTCTTCGCCTCCTTCGACGATGTTCCTTCTTGTCGAATCAAAAGTCGCGAAAATTCATTGTTCTTCCTATTGGATCGGACGTAGCAAACGGGAGCTCTCTCACTATGAAGGTAACTATCATTCTCCCTTTCGAAGAAGGGTTTCGATGTTGGGATTCGATGCTCATCTACTCAAGGGGGACCAAATTGATCATACCCTCACAACAACCTTCAGCCATCAGAATTTTCATTGTTTTTTAATGACAGTACCAAAATGGTCCCATTTTAAAGAGTTGAGGGACCAAATTGATCCCTCAAAATAGTTGGGATCATTTTGGTCCCTCCCAAAGAGTTAAGATACCATTTTTGTCCTTTTCTCATATTTTGTTAATATGATCAATAGGAGTATTTGCATGTTTGCAACCCCATCATTTTAGTTTCCTTTAAAAGATCTAATGTATATTTTTGTTGAATGATATATATATATATATCTTTGATCTTACAACTTCTATTCACAGGAAAAATTTTAAAGCTCCCAATTCTTTAATTCCAAATTTATTTGCTAAGATCTCTTCTTTTGATTTCTACCTCATCATTGCTAGTTGAGATAATGTCATCAACATAGACAATCAAGATGGTGATTGGATCAATAGTTTATTTCTTTAATAATAAAGTGCGATCAACCTACTTTAGAGCGTATCCATGTTTTTTTAACTATAGTTTTAAATTTCTCAAACTAGGCTCTTGGAAAATGCTTTTAGTCATATAAACATTTTTTGAGTTTATAGATTTATCTTTGTTATCAAAGGTTTCTAATCCATGCGGATATACACTTCTTCAAGATCTACATTTAAAAAGGCATTATTTATATTTAGTTAGTGAAAAAAGAAAATCAAGATTTATAGGCAAGAGAGGAAAATTTAGAAAAAGTTAATTTTAGCAACTAGAATAAAAGTTTTTTGATAATCCATGCCAAAATTTTGAGTAAATCTTTTTGCAATTAGTCTAGCCTTGTATCTTTCAATGCCCCCATCAACCTCTTAATTTTATATTGAAGACCCATTTGCATCAAATAGGTTTCCTCTCTTTTGGTAAAATAAAAAATTGTCATTTGACATTCTTTTCAAGTGATTTCATTTATTCAATATCAATGACTCTCCATTTAATTATTTTTAATGCTCCCAAAATGTTGTCGGGAATGTTCACACAAGAAATTTTAGTTGTAAAAGACTTAACAGAGAGGTTAGGTTGCTGCAAGAGATGTATTCATTGATCGGATACAAGGTTTTATTATTATAATACCTCTTTGGTAATCAAAACAGATATCAAGATCAGAATTAGTATTACCTTATGAATGATAATCAAAGTTTGTTTTAGAAAGGTGATTTTACAGTAGAATAATGCTTGGTTCACTCATATTTCTTAGATTTTCTTGGTGTCCAGCATAAACCATATTTGTGTATCTTAAATGTTGGAAATTTTTAACATAACCTTAGTTTTTTATTTTAAGAAGGTCAGGGGAAGATGGAAGCTAGATATTCGTAAGATGGATAAAAACTTAAATTCTTGAATAGTGTTGGAAGTCTCGCCTGAATACGAGTTTTGAAAAAAAGATTGGTTGATTTTCAAAGAATGTTAGATCTCTAAAAGTATAAACTTTATCCATGTTACATTCCTAAAAGTATAAACTTTATTCTTTTCAGATAGTAACATTTTTATCCTTCTTACGTTGGAGAATAATTAATAAAGATGCACTTTATGATTTTTAGGTTATATTTACTGCATTCATGAGGTGGGATATGAACAAACGTAAAACACCCAAAGATTTTAAGAGATTTATGTTTCGAGGACGATTTGGCAAGGGGTTTTGAATTTGAGACTCCTTGATGGATTTCATTTATAAAAGTAAGTAGCTAGTAGGACAACCTCTCTCTAATATTGATTATGAATATTGCTAACATTCAAGAAGGATCAAGAAACTATTAGAAAATTTCTACTTTTCATTTCAATAATCTCATTCTGTTGAGAAGTATATATGCAAGACCTTTGGTGTACAATCTCTTGTTGAAGATGATAGTCTCCAATAATTGAAAGAAAATACTCATTCCCATTGTTAGTCCGCAAAACTTCAGATTTTGGCTTTGAACTCAATTTGTATACAAAGATGAAATTTCTTAACAATATAATAAGACTCAAATTTACTTTTCATTAAAAAGATCCATGCAACTCTAATGTGGTCATCTATAAAGGATATGAACCACATAAGCTCGAAGATATTGATCACACAAGAGAGTCCCCAAATGTCACTATGAATGATAGAAAAGATTAAGAAGATTTTATATGTATGGCATAGATATATATTTCTGGTGTGTTTTAAAGGTTGACAAATTTCAATTAAAATAAATCTAGATTTTTATTATTGAAAGAAGATAGGAATAATTTTTTGAGATACATAAACTTTGGATGGCCAAGAGGAGTCATAACATGAATTTAATTTATTTATGATAAGACAGATACTAAACATGTTATTTGTAATGTAACATTCTATTTAGCATCCAAGAGAGAGCGTCTAGCATACGCCTTAAAAATGTCAATCATTTTCCTCAAGACCTAATCCTTAAATTTGTAATGAGAAGGGAAAATTTTAGTAACATAATTCATATCTCTATGGCGACCCTTATAGAGTACTCTTTGGAACATAGGTATATTTTGTGAAATATTGAGATACTCCCCGTCATATGATTTGAAGCACTTGAGTCTACAATCTATGATTGGATATTGTTAATCTTCAAATTAAAGGCCTTTACTACTATACATTTTTGACCCGTTGATCCAATAATGATGTCGAATGTGACTAAAATTGGGCTAGTTTTGAGTTGATTAAACACTTTTTTCAGCATTTTCATTTGCGCTCGATTGAATGATGGAAGTGTAGATGTAGATGGATTAAGAGATTCATGGCATGATGTTGAGAATCCATAACCTTGCTTCCCCAATCTCCAATCAACATATTTCCACAATTTCTAATAGATTTCTTTTACGTGTCCAGGTTTTTGACAGTAACCAAATCAAGGCCTTCTCTTTTTAGATAAATTTTCATTGGATGTACACATACCTTTAGATGTGAGTTCGGAGTTTCATGAAGTTGTTCGAATGCCTTTCTCTCCCATCATGATATTCTAACAGCTTTCCTCTCTCTATGCTTTAGAGAAAAAAATATCATTTTAAATGGAGACTTACAAGATGAAATCTATATGATGATGCCATTAGATTTGAGACTACTACAATACAAATCAAGTATAAAAGCTCAAGAAATCATTACATAGTTTAGAACAAACAACAAGAGTCTGGTTCGACAGTTCACCAAAGTGATTAATAGGCATAGATAATCCCAAGGATAATACAACCATGCTTTAGTTATCAAGACATCATATAAAGGTGAATTATTATCCTTCTTGTATATGTTAATGATATCATCTTGATAGGAAATTATAGAGAAGAGATAAACAATTTGAAAGGTCATTGTTCATTTGTCTGGGGGAATTTAGTTACATAAAAAAATAAAAATAATTAGTTGTTACTCGCATTAGAGCTAAAGCTGAATTCAGAGCTATAGATCATAAAATTTCTAAAAGGATGCGGCTTAAATGTCTTCTTGCATAGCTAAAACTTCTGCAAAAGAATCAATGATAATGCATTGTGACAATCAAGCTGCTATTACCATTACAAAGAATTTAGTCCATCCTAAAAGAACTAAACAAGTTGAGATTGATAAACACTTTATTTAAAAATTTTGACATCAAGGTTTTTTACATCCTAACAAATTTGCTTAAGTGTTGATACTCTAGCCAAAACTCTTAATAAAGAACAATTTTACATTTTAAATTTCAAGTTAGGAATGATTAACATATATTCCTAGCTTGAGGGAAGAAATTCTAGAAAGAATTCTAAGAGTTTCCTCATCGTTTTGCTGACCAATTCCACTCCAGCCACCCGGATTTCTAGGATCCTCGGTCAGCAACACCAGCTTCAGTTTCCCAAAGCCGCTCCTGCAATCAATTGGGATCCTTCTTAATCTGTTGCGACAGCCTCAAGTTTCCACAGACAGCTCCTGCAACAAAGTTGGATTTCCGGAAGTCCGGCTTTGTTGATTTTCTGCTTCATCACCTGCCGGCGGTTTATTTAAATCTGGGTTCTCCAAGGGGTCACGGGATTCCACCCATTTTTGGAAAAGAATTTCCATGTGGAAAGAAAAAACAATCAACATTCAATTTCCTTCAGTATGTATTGATGATCCTTTTTATTCTGGTTTTATATTTTTTCCAGTTTTATGTTCTTTCTCGTTTTGTGTATTCAGTTCCTTAATGTTTCAGGATCTCGATTTTCCTGGTTTCTTGTTTAGAGGAACCTTCTGCATTCCTCTACATTATGTGTATTTCTATCATTTGAAAAGAAAATAAACAATAATCTAAATTAAGGAAATTAATTAAAAAATCGAGAAAAAATTTTAGTAGCACAAAGCAGTAAAGAAGTAGATAATCATACTCCAATCTTTGAAAAATGCTTTCTTGCATTTGGTGACCAGAGTAAAAAGTAATCACAGGTAAAGAAATAGCAGCTTCAACTCGAACTTGTTCAGCTTCATCAGTAATAGCCATGTCCAGAACCTCAAGATTGCATTCCACACTCGAGGGGCCAAGTTTGGAGAGAACCTGGATAGAAAGGCATTTAATCTTCCAGATAGGATCAGCAAGAGAAATACCAGTCTCATTTGTCCATGCCAATTTCAGCAAATAAATCAAATCATCGTATCTTGGAGTGAAATGGCTTAACCCACTTTCATCATCTAAGCAGCCATCGCCCTTCAAAAATAACAACTGTTTGTGAACTGAGCCTGAATCATGCATAAAATTTTACATTATGACCATTTTCATTACAAGTTAATTTTCAGAATATCAATTCAAAACAGATTTGAACGCGAAGATAGAATAGTCCATTCCTAGCTTCTGAAATCCCTGTGAGAAGTGGTGCGCAAGCAATATAAATCATACAAATCATGCTGTTTGACATTTCAAAATCCCTCAAGTATTCACACATGTTTTGCACATCCAATTATAGATCAACATAAGTCATTCTTGATAGGCCGCACATTCATGTCCAAAATGATAAGGAAAATGCTTAAAGAAAGGTTTGTGCTGAATGTTAATATGCCACACATTGACGTCCAAGATGCTAAGTGAAAGGTTTAATCATCACATCTGGCCAACATCCTTCAACAAACTCAAGATGCTCTACTAAGACATAAATGGGACATTTATTTGATTTTAAAAACTGAACAAGAGAGTAATCATGCAATTTTTTTTGTGTTTTGAAAAATGAGTTCACTTTAGTTGAACATAGTTTAAGTAGAAAATTAACCCTATAAGCATACTCTTGATCATATAAAAAACCAGGATTAAAGAACAGTTCTGCATTAAAAGTAATAAAAACAAGAAGGAAAATCGTAAATATATCATTATTTCTGGAAAGTAGTAAAATGTAGCATGAATTGGGCTAGTAGGGAAATAGTAAGCATCACAGAATCCTCACTTGCTTGGGCATCAAACCAAACACTCCAAAGGCCTTGACTTAGCAATTCTTCAAATCCCTCTCCCAACACCAAACCTGCGGCCCACATCCAAAGCCTAGCCGCCCGCCCTGCCCCAATTAATTCTAGATTTCCCCCCACTGCTGTCCACAAAATTCCCCGCCATATCTACCTAGCTCTCGTGCATCCATAAGGTGGAAACCCCTTGAAATTCTTCTCTCCAACATGCTGTCCAGATTTCTGGACAGGTTCTATGTGCTGTCCTGAATTTCAGAACCTAGAAAACTGTTGTCTAGAGTTTTCATATTGCTGTCCAGGAAATTCCGGCAGGACGAGCTGCTGTCCTGCTCTCAAGAAACCTCATACTTGCTGTCCTGAAGGTTTCCATCTGCTGTCTAGAGATTCCAGCCGGTTTCTAGTGCCGTTTCGCCAACAGGAAAACTCTCATTTGCTACCCAGAAGACCCTACACGGCTGTCCACTAGCAGAACTTCTTCGAGATCAACCACCAAACTCCGGAACTTTCTCCTCACATCGCAAATCAGACTTAAGAACTCAACGACAGTGAACTCTTCCCCAAGTCTCCTATCTTCCTAGTTTACTTTTCAATTGTGGTTATATTTTGATTCACAAAGATCGTGCTAATTCTACTCCGCTAAAGCTTAATGATCTAGAGAGTTGAGTGAGGGATCCTTGCATAGTGACTAGTCTTATTGTTAACATATGGATTTCTCGTTCAAAACCTTCCACACATGCAACGTTAGAGTAATTGACTGTTTTAAGATCTTAACCTCTACGCATGTGATTTGGTCTAAGCTTATTTGTCGCCTTATTGTTTTAACTTATTGTTTAAATCAATATAAGTTTTACTTATTATTGTTCTCTAAAATTTAAGCGTGTTAAAAACTTAAATCAATATCACCTAAGCATTATAATCTTGCATCAAATATTCTTCTTGTTGATAAGATTAAAGAGGGAGTTGAGAGTTAACTTGAATTATAGAGATCAACCTCAGAGGCTAAAGATTTTCATTTGAGTGGATATAAAACCAAATACATGGAGAGTAATTTTAATAATAATAGATCTAATGGGGGGATTGTGACTTTCGGTAATCAAATCATTAAGAGTACACATTTTAGATATCTCAGGCCTATTGTTCAAAGTAATGGTGAAATAGAAAGAATTCAAATTGGACGATCAAAGTGGAGGAATGCATTGGGTCTATTATGTGAGAATGTCAGCCATTAAAAGAGAAGCATAAAATTAAGTGTTGAAGAGATGAGGATGCACAGGTGGATGAGTGGCTTTACTATAAGAAATAGAATGCTCCAGTGACAGATAAGATTAGGGAGAGTCGTCTTAGATGGTTTTGTCACATAAAGTGTTGATCTTCCAATTAACCGGTTAGGAGAATAGATGTATTAAATTTGCCCTACGTTAAGAAAGTTAGAGGTAGACCTAAAATGACTTGGTTAGATAACACAAAAAATTAAATTTTTTTATTATATTTAAATAAGAATTTGACTCTTAATAAGACACAATAGACAAAAAGGACTTATGTAGCCGACTCCACTTAGTGGGACAAAGGCTTAATTTTGTTGTTGTATAAAGAACATCTAATCCCTTTATTACAAAAAGATTATTTTAAATTCAATATATATAGTAATCATCATTTATTCCTAAGCACACTAACATTCAAACTATAAACAATGTAACTTTGTCGATACAAAATTTAAAATTTTAGAAAGATTAAGCATGGTAATTTTTTTAATGTAATTATATATTTAAAAAATTTATTTATGAATATCTTCAAAATCAAATCAACATTTGTGGGTTCCGAAAATTCTCATTTTTGTAATTGTGATGTGTGATCCCGGCCTCTCCAGATCATCCGTCTATTTTTTTTTTTTTTTTGCTGAGGTGGAGTCGGTTGGGTATGTAGGCTGGGATCGGCTTGGTCCGAACGAAGGTGTCGGGTTCTCTAACAGTTAGAGGTCAACAACATTCTATGCATATGAGATTTAATAAAGAAAGAACTCTATAACATACTTTATTGATGTCAATATGATAATTAATTTAGATACATTTTAGAAGCATATAATCATTAATAATATTTACTTTTATCTGATTTAATGTTAAAATATTTTTCATAACTGGTGATAATATTAAGGTATGCAATACTAAAACGAGTGAAATAGGAAAACTAATATGAATTTAACAAATAAAAATAAAAATAAAATGAATATAAAATTGAAAATTTAAACATTCTAAAGATAAGATGTTATTAAAATACTCTCTAACAAATTTCATTGTTTCCCATTTGATTTTTAATTTGGGTAGTCTTTAGAAGTACAAAATCATTAATAATACTTCTATGTAATTTGAAGTTGAAATATTTCTTTCATAGCAGGTGAATAAATTTAAGATGTAATTTAAAAGAAAAGATAAAATTGCTAAGCTTATATGAATTTAATAATTACAAAAATAAAATTAATATAAAATTTATTTTGTGCACCTAGTTTTAAGAGCATATAATATGCTTTAAACTACGACTTCTTTATGCATGCGCATATTTACCAGTTTTTAGCAAAATCCCTCAAACATAGGAGAGAGTTAACAAGGCAGATGCTTCAAATTGCATAGGAACCTATCAGCCAAAAAGGCACTGCTGCCATGCGTAGTAAGTTGCACCTCAAATGTCAACAAATTGAAGAAGTTAAATAATTTATTCTGACTCAAGTTTTATTGTTGTAAGGCTCAATAAAGCTAGGAGATTCCTTGCCTTGCAGAAGTAATATGTTGTGAATTGCTACCAAATAAATAGACAATCCAAATGAAAGTGATCCGGTAGTTTTTTCCTGTAACAAATCATCGTAGATTAATTAATCAAGTTCAGGGTGGAGTAATATTTTTAAGTCAAATAAAAAATATATCATAATATTTCTAGTATTCAGCATACCTGTTGGCATATCCATGGAATCCAGGAAAACACCTGCTGAAAGATGATTGTAGCTAAGCTGACATTTGGATATAGACAAAATGCAATAGCAAGCAGACTAAGAGACATTATTGAAGTTTCTGGCCGCAAAGGAGAAGTCCCAGATATTTCAGGTCTTGAAAAGTCAATAAATTTGGAAAGTGAACTTTGCAGATCACTTACATTTCTCTTATTATTCTCAGATGTAGAAGATGCAGTGGATTCACAACTAATATGAGCATCAACAGTAGGAAATGTTCTTTTGTCCTGTGTTTTTTGTCTCTTTATGTCAATATGATTGTTCTGAGCAGACCTTTTCTCACCAACTTTTGCAACATCACAATCTTTGCCACTAACAACTGAAATGCCTTGGCCAATAACATAATCATTGCAAGCATGAGTTGAATCCAGAACACAGGCAGCCATTTGAATACACTCGATTAGAGACAAACAGGGTTTTGATGAGTATAGTACACTAATAAGCTGTGCCGGCTTCCATATATATAAGGGACAAATTTTAGCAATACGTATGTACGCACTACACAATGCTACCTAGAACAAAAATAAAAACTCAGCACATTCAATCTGCACATTTAATCCATGATCGTTCAAATAAAATATGCAGTGAAATAATTTAAAATTGAGAAGGAATTCATGAAGTACGAAGCATGAAAGTAACCTGAAGTTCAGGGCTTTCTGTACTTTGCAGTGATTTGGGGAAAATACCAACTATTTCATTGGCCGTGGATTTGACAACCTCATCTTGACAAGTTGAATACAGTACATGAAGGCAAGCACCAACCGAAGAATCATAGACAATGTTTCTGTAAAAAGTATGTTAGCTTGTCCAAAAAGGTGGTCATAGTGTTTCTTAATTGAAACATAGTATAAATCTGATGCGTGAATTTTGCATGTAAACCAAACAACAAAAGCCTACAGTTAGCAGCTTCTCAATTGAAAGAACTTCATCGGATAGCTTCCCCAAAGGGATCCAATCACTAGTATATATGTGAGTGAAGGAGTTCAGTGATATCTAAAATAATATGATATATGAATCAGATAACTGTATTGACAAACAATATCGTTACTTCCTCGTTGGGAAACATATAATTACTCGTGAAAAATCTGAAAAAGAAAAGAAAAAAAAAACTAACATGATTTGATGTCTCTTCTGGAAGGAAAAGATATTCTGTGACCAATTAGATGTTCTAGGCAATCATAAATATCAGAATAGTTCTTGTTGCTGATTAACTGCATGTTCATAGTAGCAATTAGTTGGAAAATAAAAATAGCTACTTGTGTATTACTCAAAAGTCAGTGCTAAACATTGTATTTCTAAGTTGATATAAATGGCTGCTAATATTTTTGCAGACAATGTTTTGCACAAAATGACTGGTTTTACTACAAATTTATATGACACTGCGGTAAAGGAAAATTTTGCAAAAGTTAGTTTAAAGCCCTTGGATCAAGATCAGTGACTGAATATCATTAATAATCTCGATGATCATGTCAAAGCAAATTAAAATATTTTAAATAGAACTAACCACCATCAATGCATAAAATTTTAGTTCCATCCATAGGTTTTAGCATTTTAATTACCCACCCTGTCCACGCTGGAAAGAAAAGGCAGAAGCGCAGAACAGAAACCAACATCTGATCATATGTTTTGCAACAATAATCTCGATGTTCTTAATAGACAAGCCTGCTGCCTGGTACACCTGAGATAAGAAGCTTGCATCGGGTATATGTTGTTATTTATTCATAGAAAGCGTTCCAATAAAGCATGCCTCTAATGGCACTTTTGCATAACCCATCCTTGAAAACAGGTCAAGTATTCAAAGCTTTGCATAGGCCATGATTATTTACAATACAGTGGTTATTATTTTTTTAAAAAAGAAACCATGACTAAAACTTGATGACAGCAAGACGCGGAAGAACAAGAGCAAGAGAAAAATGCTCCAGCAATTTACTCAACAGGAAAAAAAATTCCATTTATATCACGACTTAACGATATAACACTTCATTTATCACACTTTGAGAAGCTTCGGGCCCTGACATTTAGGGCCAATACAAACTCAGATCATAAGCATTGGTGACTCAAATTCTCAAAATACAGAGCAGCAACAGCTACTCGTAAGTTTGTGAAGAAGATATCCACGAGCTACTGATTGATAAACATACATTCCCTTATGAATTTACTAGAAAGCAATAGAAAGCAAGGGAGCAAGTCATAAATAAATCAAATATGACTTTTATGTAAAATGACAATTTTTTTACGTTCAGTTATTTTCTCAAATGTAATTATTATGCATTTTTTCTCTTTCGTTTATGTGATGTTTTGTTCATTTTACTGCTGTGTACCGATATATATCATTGTGTATTGTTGTGTACTGCTGACTGCTGTGTATCGTTGTGTATTGCTATATATTATTGTTGTATACTGTTTTGTACTGTTGTTATGTACTGCTATGTATTGTTGTTGTATACTATTTTGTACTGTTGTTATGTACTGCTATGTATTGTTGTTGTGTAATAATGTATGTTACATGAATGTTATGTATATTAATTTATTTTTCACATGAATTTAACATATAATTCCTAGAACAATTGCTGGAAAATATTTTACAAAATTAGGTGGTAAAAAATAGGCATGAAAAGATAATTGTTCAAACAATAAGTACATAACAAATAACAATTTTTTTTTTTTTTTGTTCAAATAATCTAAAAGCACAAATTCTCCACATTCAATGTTTCATCCAACAACTCCCACACATAAGTGCTGGAGAGAGCCTTTCCGCACTGCTCGTTAAGCCTTAAAGATTTTATTTGCATGTACATAACCCAATCTATTCATTTAAAGAATAATAATGATGCAGATCGATGTTAGATACAATTATTTTAGGCATCTGATGTTTTTCATATTTATAAAATAAATATATATATATATATATATATATATCTTTAATATGATATGAAATATATTTTCAAGTGGCATAAAAATAAATTATATGTACAATTAAATATCTAAAAATAATAATTTATGTTAATTTTTTTATTAATATATCTTATAAAATTATTAATAAAAATTTTTAATAAACTTATATTTTATGAAATTTTTATTCTATTTTAATGATAATAATTTAAATAATTATATTTAAACTCTTCATCCACTGAGTAAAAATAAATTTAAAATTATGGTGGTCAGATTTGAGGCTCACTCTACTCGTCATCCATTGATTATAAATTTAAATAGTGTTAATTAAAAAATAGGCATATTTAATTAGTATTTAGGTTGCTCTTACTTTGTAATAATTATACAATAATAAATTGAATAATACCAAAAATCTCTAATCATTAGGCAATAAGACCAAACAAAATTTTGCACTCACTAAACTGAAAATCCTGAAATACATATATAACCCATATTAGCTCGTTCATAAATACAGCAACAAGTCGAATACAGATAGAAGCCAAGAACTTGAAAGGAAAATTAAACAGGCGTATCGATATGTTAGAACCAAATCCCCACGACCACTCAATTCAGCACATTAACAAGCAAAAGCTAAAAATGGTGGATTAACATATTTGCGGGGAGAAGCCCAAATTTAAAATCATCGCTCTTTTCTCAATTTCTCCAATGCAGAATTTATGTTAACAATATCAGAGATTAATTGATGAAACAAAAATTTATAGTTGATCTTGCTTTTCTTGTTCTCCATGATTGAGATAGATTGAGTTAAGATTTGAGAAGCAATACCACAACATTTATAGCAACAATACACGGCAAATACACAAGCAGTAATATACAATAATACACACCAGTACATAGCAATAATGCACAGCAATATACAACAATACACATGATGTAGAACGAGAAGAGGGGGGAAGGAAAACCGGCAGCATGCATGGGTTTGGGGAGTGGATTGTGGAGTTAATGCTCTCCTAAATTGAATTTCAGTTTTAGAAAGAGAGATAATTACTCCAATTAATTTGAAATTGATTGGATTGGGGGGGTAGGCGCCTAGCGGGAAGGAAAACCGACAGCATGCATGGGTTGGGGAGTGGATGGTGGAGTTAATGCTCTCCTAAATTGAATTTCAGTTTAGAAAGAGAGATAATTACTACAAATTTAATTTGAAATTGATTGGATTGATTTAAGGGTAACCCTAGATATTTAGGAAAGAATTTGGAAATTTGAATTTGAATTTGAATTCAAAACAAATTGATTCTCTTTCCAAAATTATGCTAGAATATTTTAGGAAAGTAGGCTATCAAAGAGAGATTGGCTCCAATCAAGAGAAAGAGGGTTTAATGGCCTTAATTGGTGATGCGAAAATTATTGAGGAGACAATATGGAAAGGGGAGGGGCGGCATGGGTGAGGGAAAGATAATATCTACATTCTATGTATGTGGATCAAGCGTTAAATGGGATAGGGGGAATTAAATATGAAATTAATTTTAGATTGGGAGTAATTGGAGGAGCTCCCTAATGTAGAATTTATAAAATTGGAAAGGTTTTGAAATTTAAATTTATTTTGAATTCAAAATTAAATGAAGGCTTATTAGGGGAGCATTAATGGGCCTCTTAATTAGATGAGAGGAAGGGTCAGCCTAATAAGGAGGGAAAGAAAAGGTTCCACGTACAATGTATGTGGACCCATGCATTAACGAGAAATTGGAGAGTTAAATCTAAAATAATTTTAGATTTAATATGATTGAAGGATTTCCTAAAATAGATGTAGGCTAAAAGTTTTTGAATTTAAAATTCAAATTCATTTGAATTTGAATTCAAAAACTTTTCAAATAAGATAGAAGCTAATTTAGGAAAGTAATGATGATTAAATGAAATTGGAATCAAGGGAACTTGGAGGGTGGGCCGGCGTGGGGTGTAGGGAAACATGGCCGGGATAGGGGGTTTTGAGGAGTGTAGCCGGCGATTGGGTGGGGGAAAAACGCTTGGCCGGTGGGTTGTGGTGAGTGGCCAACGGTGGAGTGAGGAAAGAAAGGTTGGTGTTTAGGGAAATAAGGAAAAACAAAACAAAGAAAAAAGAGAAAGAACAACGAGCCTTGGACACTTCCAAAGACTAACGGTTATTGCGTTGCCCTTCACCAAGGGACTTCAAGCCACAAGCCCGGACCCATCCTGCGACTGATGGAAACTCTGATTCCCTCCCGTAGAAATCTCACCAAGTTCTCTCAAAGAACACAAGTGCAAACAAAAGTTTTTAATAACCCATCATACCTAATACAAGAGAAGGAGGCTCTTATATATAGGCCTCAAATGAAACTAAAAGACAAATTTTTCATTGGGCTACATAAGATAATACTCTTAAATAAAATGATAAAAAAATGAAAATTGCAAAATTAAATCAAAATACAATTAATAAAACTAAAATAAAAAGGAGTGATCCGACCGTCGATCTTCGAATCTTCCTTTGATATCGTCCACCGTCGGATGTCCGTATAACACAGCTGTACAAAGCAATACACAACAATACACAATAACAATATACAGCAGTACACAGCAACAATATACAGCAATACACAGCAGACGAGGTAACACAATACCACAACATACACAGCAATATAAAGTAGTACACAGTAATACACAACAGTACATAGCAGTATACACAATAATACAAAGCAATACACAACAGTACACAACAACAATACGCAATAATGCACAGTAAAAAAAATCATTTTTCA